CCATTCTCACTTCTAAAGAGCATTTCAGCTATACTTCCTCCAACACAGATTTGTTTATTCTTCTGGCAGTCCATGGAATATTCAATATTTGCCAACATCACAATTAAAATGCATCAGTTCTTCTGGGGTCTTCCTTATTCATTGTCCAGCTTTCACAATCACATGTATATGATGAGGCTATTGAAAAAAACAATGGCTTGGGTCAGGTGCTCCTTAGTCTTCAAAGTAACATCTTTGCTCTTTAACATTTTAAAGAGGTCTTTTGCAACAAATCTACCCAATGCAACACTTCATTTGATCTCTTGACTGCTGCTTCCATGGGTATCGGTTGTGTATCCAAGTAAAATAAAACCCTTGACAACTTCAAACTTTTCTCCATTTATCATAATGTTGCTTATTGGTCAAGTTGTGAGGATTTTTGTTTCCTTTATGTTGAGATATAATCCATACTGAAGGTTGTAGTCTTTGATCTTCATCAGTAAGTGCTTCAAGTCTTCTTCATTTTCAACAAGGAGAATGTGTTATTTGTGTATCACAGTTGTTAATGAGTCTCCTTCCCTTCCTGATGATGCATTCCTCTTCATATAGTCCAGTTTATCAGATTATTTGCTAAGCATACAGATTGAATAAGTATGGTGAAAGGATACAACCCTGATGCACACCTTTCCTGATTTTAAACCATGGAATATGCCTGTTCTGTTTGAATGACTGTCTCTTGGTCTATGAACCGGTTACTCATGAGCACAATTAAGTGGTCCAGAATTCCCTTTCTTTGCAATGTTATCAATAATTTGTTATGATCCTTTGCATAGTCAATAAAATACAAGCAAACATCTTTCTGGTGTTTTTTGCTTCTAGCCAAGATCCATCTGACATCAAAATGATATCCAACTTGAATTTCTGGCAGTTCTCTGTCTATATACTGCTGCAACCCATTTCAAATTATTTTCAGCAAAATTTTATTTGCTTGTGATATTAATGATTCTGTTCAATAATTTCTGCATTCTGTTGGATTACCTTTTTTGGAATGGGCACAAATATGGATCTAATGGATCAGTAGGTTGGTCAGGTAGCTATCTTCAGATTTCTTGGCATAAATTAGTAAGCGCCTCCAGTATTGCATCTGTTTTCATTCCATCAATTCCTGGATCCTTGTTCTTCGCCAATTCCTTCAGTGCAGCTCGGACTTCTTTCTTCAGTGCTATCAGTTCTTGATCATATGCTACCTCTTAAAATGGTTTAACATCAACCAATTATTTTGGGTACAGTGATTTGGTGCATTTCTTCCATCTTCTTGATGCTTTCTGCATCATTCAATATTTTGCCCATCAACCAAAACCAAACTCACTGCCATCGAGTCAGATCTGACTCATAACAACCCCTCCTTGGTTTTCTAAGGCAGTATCACTATGGAAGTAGATTGCCCAATCTTCCTTCCAACGAGTGGCTGGTGGGTTT